CCCCCTTCATGTAGTACACTTTTTTTTTAGTAAACCAGGGGGGGGGGGGGGGGGTTACACACAGATCCTAAGTTGAACTTATCTCTAAGTTGGACTTAAAAATTATGGAAAGCCATTAGCATCTATGAAAATATTTTGTAAAATAAAATTTTGCATAAAATATTGATTCAAATCATTCATATTTTCTATTATCAAAGAGATTTCATGTTCTTGATGTGGAATTAATCAAATGTCTTAAATACTTCAACTTTTGCTTTAGAATATATTTAATTTTAAGGCTACAAATGGCTCTCCGTAATATTTAAGTCAAAGTTAGAGTAAAGTCTGACTTGGGATCTTTGTGAAGCACCCCCCAGTACTTTACAACTTGAATGTTTCTAGGTCATGCTGAGAAAAAAGTCAAAAGTTCTCTATCTCCCACCCCCCCCCTCCCCCTCTCTCTCTCTCTCTTTCTGTTTTACATTAGCTTATAAGAAGTTAATATACTTTCTTGAGAAAGTGAGAAAGCAGTTCTTAACAATAATTGTCTTTGTTTAAGTTACTAGATTTAACACTTCTTATTAACAGTCAGGCTTCTGTTCTTGAACCTTGATGTAAAGTACACTCAGCACAACTTGCAGACCAAACAAACTTTTTTGTTTCCTAACGTGAAATCCCGAGACAGAAGCGCTCATCGGAGATCGAATTTCACCGCATTTCACACTAAATCCCTAGATCCCATGCTTCACCAGTCTCTTGACGTCCGTCCCGCGCGTGGCTCGACTCAGAGCAGGAATCTAGCGGAAAAATCTAGGATTTAGTAGGTTAGGTGCGTCATTCATCACCGAGTCCAACCCTAGCAATGATGTGACAGCACTTTCTTTTCTAGATTTGTCCATACTGTGTAGCAATATGAGATAATTATTTAAATGGGGTTTAATCGTTTATTTATAGGCAGTGCGTGAAAATGAAGTTTGATTGTTGCACAAATTTGTGAATGACAAGGCAATAACCTCCATCTCCACACCCCCTTTCTCTCTCTCTCTCTCTCTCTCTCTCTCTCTCTCTCTCTCTCTCTCATTTTAGTGTTTTCATTAATTATAGAGTATCACTCTCACTCTCTTTTACATTTTTTTTCTTTTTCTGTTGAGTCATTATCTGTTATTGTTGTACATATGTCATTATTGAACAAACCCTTTAGCTCAAATGAATGAAATTGTTTCTTTTATTATCTATGTTCTATGAAAAATTAAATAGATTCTGTAAGATATTTATAGTTATGACTTTACACCAATTCTTCTTATCAAAGTTAACTTGAATCTAATGATTATTATATATTGGTTAAGAATGCCCAACTCTATATATATTATAGATACAGAGCAATGAATCACAAGATAGTCAGTGAAAACAGAACAGAACTGAAGCACTTCTGTGCTCCTGTGCATATCCGCAAAATGTATATATAGGCTGCCCTCATTACCTTAAACTAATTCTGCTTTCTGCATCCACTCCCTCATTTGCCTACGATCTAAAATAATGAAGTCAACTCCATATCCCTCTCATCAGTACACTCAAGCTACGAAAAGAAGTCAAATTTGTTCAAAACTCTGTCAAATCAGACATTAATTCAATCAGACCTTAGCTCAAGGGTGGGAAAAGATAAAAACAGACCTTGACGGACGGCCTTCTCCCTGCCGTAAGCTAGCCATTTTTGGGGCGGCTCGCTGAAAAGATTAATGATATTTCATTTCCGGTGCTGCTGACAGAAGTTTGGGATAAGAGATCATATTTGAGGTGGTTTAGGTGTTTCAAAAAAGTTTTGGGTAAACCAGAGAATATTTGAGCTACCTACATGTAGCTTGCAATTTTGGTCTATAATAGTCCCTTAGTATTCACAAATCAAACAGTCGCCAACGATAATCAATTGTGTGCAAAATAACATGAGAATGATCATATCAAAAAGCAGTTAACAATGTGTCATATTCATTTTTATGCAATAGCCCTCTCTGCACTATATACATGTACATGCACTCAATATCCCAAAGAAGTTAGTTTCATTTCCTGATTTCTCCCCAACATTAGGACTGTCTAGTTCTAAAGTAGAATAGTTACATGTATAGCAGAATACATGAATTAGTCAAATGTAGGACCAGTATACCAGTACGAGATGGCAAACAACTAAACAAATAAGTATAACAAAATTTCATAACACTATGTTATAAGGTATCATAAAAGATTACCTATAGAACAAAACCAACAAGATTATATTCAAATAAGTGCCTAAAAGTAAAGGAAGGGAATACATTAAAAAACAATGCAAAGAAAGCAATCTGCCAAATGCTTCCCCTTTGAAAAAAAATTAAAATCCCAGGCAAAATGCTGTCATATTCAAAAGTTTTTTTACCCATCATATTTTTCTATTCTTATAAATGCAATGCATATCCATGTTCGTGTATTTCTATTTTAAAATATCATTTTACTCTTTCTGACACTGACATTGTCACTTAAAAGTCAAACAACATATTTGTCATTAACTAGTATATTACCCAAGAAACAGTGAACTGATGGGATAATCAACTTATTTACAATCCCAACTTTTGTACTGAAATTAACAACCAACAAGTGCTTACCTTAATCAAAGCACCCAGAAGTCCACCGCCTAATGAGAGAAAGCTAGCCACACTAATAGTTGTCTGGAGTAGAATAAATCCAATTCCCCTTCTTGGCAAGACTCATTAAGAAATTGAGTAAATGCCGCCTGGCTGGCAGAGTTTGGTTCGTAGCGGGAGAGAAATCTAATCTGTATTAAATGAGTGTTTACTGGTGAGCACTGAGAGTGTGAAGCCCTCACAGTTACATGTGCTACACAGATGCACTGGTACAGATGGAAAGTGCAGTCTGTGGTGCCGCTGTGAAGTGCGAGATAGAGAGAGAGAGAGAGAGAGAGGAGGGTGTAAGGGAATGACACTATTATAGGAAGTGAAGAAAGACGGACAGGGAGGGGGAGAAAAAAAGGAGAGGGGGAGAGGGCAAGCTGGAGAAGGAGATGACAGGAGCAAGAGAGAGAGAGAGAGAGAGAGAGATAGAGAGAAAGGGGGAGTGGATTGAGGGTACAACAAGTGAGGGAGAGATAAAATTGAATTGAGTATTAAGCCAAGGATGGATGAAAAATTAGGGTCGAAGGGGGGGGGGGGGGATACAAAAATTAATGAAAAGATCAGTGGTATGTGCTTTTTATTCCCTCTACCTGATGATGTCCGGATCTATCCCCGATTGAGATCATTAAGTAATCAAATCAATTTTTAAAAATCAACAATATTCAACATTTCAAAAACCTTGAAGTTGTAGATGTTCATGGACATTGTACGGTCCCTGATATGTTACAGTTTAAGAGGATGTCAATGTGTAGCTGATGAATGATTGCTATGTTTGTCTAAGCCTTCCTATAACTCATTGCAACACATCCTAAAGACAGATCCCCATTTAAAGCAACCAATAAATCTCTCAATATGTCATACTACTTTTTAATGGTGTTGCCAATATGTAAGACATGTATTTAGAGTTAGGGGCTCGTGTAAATATGTGAAAGGGCCCTCAGTATCTCACACACTCATTGATGGCATGTATGATTTTAAAATTTATAGGCACTGATATAAAAACTTAGAAACTCATACGATTGCATCAAATTTCCTCAAATTTTCAGGTTTTCTCCTATTCATCTCAGGACTTCATGTACATTTGTTTGGTTTCTTGTGACAACTTAAGACCAGCAAACAAAAAAGTTATTAAAAAAAATAAATCCCCAAACATACATATAGACTAACATAACTGCCCGCCCCACCCCCCCCCCCCCACTCAGTGAACGGAGGGATACCATGCGTGTTACCAAAATGTCCGGTAAATGGGTACTTTTCATGCACCAAAGTCCGGCTCGTAGTACGTACACAAAAAAGACTTTACACACCGGACTTAGGGGGTGTTTTCAAAAGGAGTGAACACGCATATGCGTACCCTAAATAACACTGAATGGGGGGGGGGGCAGGCATAACTGCATGATGGAGGACCTACTATGACGAAATTTATTGTGGTTTTTGTATATTCCTGCTAAATGTGGCATTCATAATAAACTTGAACCATCTTGGTATCCTGGATAAACTCAGTGAGCTGATCTAATTTTTATTCCGGTCAGTTACTAGAATTCTCTTGAAACAGATGTCAATCAGCTGGCAGTCAGTCTTTTCTTCTACCAAACTTTCTATCTTTCAACCACAATTTTTTGGTGTTGCAAATCCAATTAAAAAAAGTGGTTTGTGGTGGTGCACTTTTAGACTTTTGTGGTTAAATGTCCTCATTTCCCTTCCTGTATTAGATATCACATTTCAAATTAATTCTGTAAATGGAGTATTTCATTTGTTGCCCCCTACGCAATACAAGATTTGTGTGATAACTCCATAGCTGTACAAAAACCAGAACATTAACTTTTCTTGTGTGAAGATCATTTAGTGAAACATTGTACTGGGGGGGGGGGGGGGGGGGGTATCTATGAATTGTTACATTTAAAGGCCCACTGCACTACTTGTAGCTACTTGCGCCCTCTATATAACAAACAATGCCAAATCGGTGACCATTGGTCCCCCATGATCCTCTTTTTCTTATGTTAACTGAGAGCTGAGTTGATGAGATAACCACCTGTCCAGTGACCTTGCAGGGCGATTTAATCCCTCCTGTAAACTATGGCAGATAAGCTTTAAGAACTATATGTATTTAAAGAATAAAATTATCAATAACAAACATCAATATTCAGGATTTTCAATATTCATGATGTATTGTTTGCAGGGAATCAGACAGGCACTAACTGAATTTTTAGGGATTTGATTTAAAGCCTCTCTGGTTCTCAGAAGCAACCCCACCTATCTCCCCCATGCTAGACCAATCAATGCATTTTAATATTTAAACTTAAAGCCCCTTCTCACCCTTTTGAATGCTCATGTTTTATATTTCTTTGTCATTCATTTATTCAGGAAAGGAAACTGTCTCACTAAAGATGCCAAGTCAGCGCTCAAGTAAGTCATTAGCAAAGACATTTTTGTAACAATACTAAATTTCTGTATCAGTTACGTGTTTCCTGCAAAAGAATACTGCCATTTCATTTTCATAATTTGTTGTTTAACACAAGACAACATTGGAACGAAAATGCAGGACAAATTTTGGAGAAAATATTATATCTATTATACTGTGATTATTAAGACACTTTAAAGTGATTTACGAAAACAATATTCGTATTATATTCATTCTTGGGAACCTATAAAAACACGCTATGCTTTCCAGTAGGTTCCAGTTTTATTTCATAATTTTGAACTTACTATGTCAACTATGTTCTTTATTGTGCACTAAACGATTGATATGAAATGGAATAAATTTGAAGAATAAAAAAATAAAAACTTACAGAGTCCTTTCTCTTTATGAAACATTCTTAAACATGCAGAATGATATTTTTTTTGTATTGTGTGCCTCTTAATTAATTCACTGGACTATGAGTCATATTGTTGAAGGTTTACTTAAAAGGAGATTTGAGGAACCTGTATGGATTGCATGAATCCGTCATAATTGCCCATTTGGCATTACCTTACAGGTCGATCTAGATTCTCTTTGGTCTTACCTGCAGTATTTCAGATATTCATAAGCATCGTACCATTGATCTGTTCGTGAACAAGGTTCAACCAAGACAAAGATCCTTCCTCAAGTGACTCATCCTGGACAACAGGGACCCATTTCACAAAACCTGTCATCAGTGACAAATGACAGTTTTTGTCATAAGCTACAGAAATCCTTGCTTCTGATTGGTTATCAGCAGATTTGTCACTGATCATTGTCGTTGTAAAAAGGCTTTGTGAAACGGGTCCCTGGACAATCCTACTCTTTTCCCAAACCTTCATAAAGACTAAATTTTGATCTGTTTGTGTTGATTGAAGGTTGTTGGTTGGTTGGTTGGTTGGTAGTTTAGGGCTGCCTGCCTCTGAACATGAGTCCATCCAAGACACAGGTCCTTCTTCTGTTCATCCTAAACACCAGGACAGTCCTCTACTACTACACTCTTCCAGTTCATACCAATAGTGTTTAAACCTTCATAAAGACTCTACTTTTGATCTGTTTGTGTTGATTGTAGGTTGTTGGTTGGTAGTTCAGAGCTACCTGCCTCTGAACAAGAGTCTAACCAAGACACAGGTCCTCCTTCTGTTCATCCTGAACACCAGAACAGTCCTATACTCTTCCAGTTCATACCAAAAGTGTTAAAACCTTCATAAAAACTCTACTATTGATTTATTTGTTTGAATTGTAGATTGTTGGTTGGTAGTTCAGGGCTGCCTGCCTCTGAACACGAGTCCAATCAAGAAACCGTCCTTCTTCTGTTCATCCTGAACACTTTGACAGTCCTAGACTCCTAATCTCCTATTTCAGTTCATACCAAAAATTTTAAAACCTTCATAAAGAATATATTTTTAATCTGTTTCCGTTGATTGTAGGTTGTTGGTTGGTAATTCAGAGATGCCTGCCTCTGAACAAGAGTCCAACCAAGACACAGGTCCCACTTCAAGTCATCCTGGACAACAGGACAGTCCTAGACTCCTACACTCTTCCAGTTCATACCAAAAGTGTTAAAACCTTCATAAAGAATATATTTCTCATCTGTTTCTGTTCATTGTAGGTTGTTGGTTGGTAATTCAGAGATGCCTGCCTCTGAACAAGAGTCCAACCAGGACACAGGTCCCTCTTCAAGTCATCCTGGACAACAGGACAGTCCTTCATTTACTCAGTTCTTACCCAAGATGCTTCAGACAACCATTACCAACTTCATCAACAGGTAACTCAAGGTCCATTCAGACACGAGGCAATGAACACATGGTCTCTTCCGAGCCAGAATGGTATTAACTCTGTTTTAAAATAAATGAGTTGACACCAGTTGGCTCCAAACAGACAACATTCACAAGTATTTGCAGCCTAGTTGAATGAGATAGAGCATACTTGAGCTTCACATATCTTTATCCTATAACACACTGATCAAGGAGAATATATGGGTTGTTCATTGATTACATGTATATGCAGAGCTTGTATTTTTAACTCATGGATAATGCTTATTGCTATTCATTGTTGCACTCAGTTTTGCTGCAGTGATCTCTTGAGGTGGTTTAACATCAAGCCAAGTCTGAATGGGACTTTATTATCATTTTCTCCTTCTTTTTGTCCATTTCGGGTATCCTGTGTTATCACTCTCTCCCCTCTCTCTCTCTCTCTCTCTCTCTCTCTCCCCTCCCCCTCTTTCTCTCTTTCTCTCGCTCTCCTTATTTTTCTCCTTCTTCCTGTTTGTCTCTTGTTCATTATCTGATTCGTTATTGTTTCATCTTAAAGCAGTTTGAAAGAACTTGCAGTACTACCCTATCATATTTCCCTATAAATGTTTTACCCATCATTGCCAGATTCTTCAATTTAGGGTAATGAATCATAGCAGATCTCAAATCACTTTTGCAAACTTTATCAGGGTTCCTTCAGTATGTGCTATTGCTCCTTTTGGACCATCTTCTTTCATCTCACTATCTTTTTACAAATTTTCTTTCTTTCTTTCTTCCCAGATTAAAAGACCTGAGCAAGCATTCCTTGTGTCTTCATGAATCCAGCTGTCTATACTACTCCTTAGAGGTATGGTATAATAGTTGATTGCCATCAGAGGGTCTGGTTAGACCTATGGTTCCAGAGATGATATGACTATAGGCCTGTTTTCATCAGCTCGAATTTGCCAAATAACCCGCTATTTTAACCATCCCGATCGCAAATTAACCACTTAATTTGCGTCTTCATCAGCCCGCAGTTCGAGAAAATATCCAGAGAAATCTTGGTTCCAAAATTTCCTGATATTTGGGAATTAGCAGGCTAATTTGCGCCCATCTGAGCTAGCTTGTGATGAGCGTATCGCTCTGGTGAAGACGCGATTTCGAGCTACAGGATAAAAGCCCAAGTCTGAAAATAGCTGGTTATTTGGCAAACTCGAGCTGATGAGGACAGGCCTATTGACTATTTTCATGAGAACACAGCCTCAAAGGATAATAATGGTCACCATAGTTAACAAGAAACTTGAATATAGGCAGAATTTATTTGGTTTATATCTGTCATCTTTTTGCCTAAATCTAGTGGTCTACTGAAAATCATTCTCTGGTACCATACACGCTAACAATTTTGAAAAAGTGATGAATTTGTGCTAGTATTAAACAAGTAATGATGACATCAACACACTGGACCTAAAACAATAGATACGTAAAATTTTATGACATCACAGGAAAAATGCACTTTTGTTTGTGATGTCATATGCCATGTACAGTTTCTGTGAATAGTAGTAATGTACATGGATAGTGCCGCCAGATGTTGCCCCTGATGGGAATTCAGTCATTTGCATGAGGCTCTGTGTAAATTGTATTTCCTCTCATGAGGTGCTATGGGCCAATCCCTTGCAGAGATTCTTCTAGCGACGGATGTAAAAAGAATTCTTGATTCAACGCATATTATTGAATAATGTGCAAGAATGTGTCACCCAAAAGCACATTTTGAGCACTTTTTATTGAATATGTGTAAATTGTTTCTTCTAAGGATTCATCCTCGCTCTCAGAGTGATAGCTCGTGCTCCCAGTGAACCTTTGACCACATCTAGGCATCACTATGTGGTCTTATATATTTTCTTTGCATTGTTTTCTATCATCCAGGCATTCTTGAGGAGGTTTTTCTTGGGTTATACGATCCAAGGCTTCATCAATGTCCTCAGAGCCTTATCGAGTGCCTTCAGCAACCCTGGAGAAATCCCCAGGGCGCTCTACCACAAGGACAACTTCTCTCTAGGTCTCTTCCTTGGCTTCTACTCAGGTCTGTTCAGGGTAAGTCCACCTATTTAGATCTCTGAAACCTGGGCCCTGTAACACAATGCATAGCAAGTGATCAAACAATTCATTTTTACAATCGATTGCCTTAGTCACTATGTCCAACAGATTGCAAAAATCAATTGTACAATCAATTACCAAGCTTTGTTTTACAGGGCTCTGAAGTGGGAACATGTTTCAAAGGGACAGTGCTCAAAGGCTCAAATGAGGAAAATCTATATGACCGAAGATCATTCAGCAATTTAGCATTTTCAGTCCAGTATTACTACTGTTGATCATACACAAACTATTTTGTCCATTCTTGGTAAATCTATCTTTATCTGATGGCAAGGTACAATGTATGTCATGGTCTTTCTACAACTACCATAGATCGACAGGACAATTGATTTGAAATTATCTTTTGTTAAGTGAAACATCCTTTTACTTGAAATGCTTTCTAATGCAGATCTTGCTGTGTGTTATCAACAATATAAATAGAGATTTTGATAGAATATAGTATATATGAAATGGGCAGGACTTGTCCAAAATATATCAATGATTCAAACCTTTAATCCAAAAATTTAAGGTGAAGTAAGTAAACCATTCTTCCACCCATTACTTTTGCCTTCTTGCACTTCAGTGTTTTAAATTGCTTCTTGTCTTGTTGATATTATAGAGCATCAGTTGTCTACTGCGTAGGCTACGGAACAAAGACAATCCCATCCATGGACTTCTAGCAGGTTTCATAGCTGGACTATCAGCCATGTTCTATAGAAGCAAGACCCTCTCGCTCTATCTCACATCTAAGGCTGCTGAGGTAAGCTGGATTTCCACTTCACTTTATGGTATTTACTTGGCTCAGAAATAGTATACAAATATACACTGTCTTGAGAGGTTCTGGTTTAAACTAAGGGCAATAGGTAACTCCAATAGTACTATTGGAGTCACTAAGGCCCATAGTTTTAACCAGTACCTAAAAAAGAAGGTAGGGTATATTTGTTTTATATCCTACATCAAAAATTTATATTCAAGCAGAATAACTCACTCAGTGAATAACTCACTGACTGTGGCTCAACGTGGATTGCACTGCGTGAGCACCTTAACACCAAATAGTCCTCTTTCAGAGCAAGCTTAAAATGGTTGAAATATTTCTGTTCACGTGATGACCTCTCAACCAATCAAAAACCAATAAATTGTTGATGCAGGATATTATTGAGAATAATTTCAGTCTCTAAATCTGTTAGTTCCAATTTTTTCACTTGATGGAAAAATTTAGAATTTGATACAAAACTTGTAAGATCTTAGGCACTGTCATCTGGAGCACTTGAACATAAATTTGTGTCTGCTAGATTCCTTAAAGGCTATGAACCTTTTATCCTAATTAACATGTAGAAAGTACTTTCACTTGTTTTTTATGCCTCCGCCACCGAAGGTGGTGCCGGAGGCATCATGTTTTCGGGTTGTCCGTCCGTACGTCCGTCCCGTTTGACCGTTATCACAATATCTCAAGAACCATTTAAGATTTAAACTTAAGACTCGGGAATAGTATTTATCACCATAGGAAGACGATCTGATTAGATTTTGGAGTACGTAGGTCAAAGGTCACAGGTCACAGAGGTCAACTTATGAAATTCCTTGTATTGAGTTTGTTAGCGCGATATCTCAAGAACCATTTGAGATTTAAACTTCAAACTTAAGGATAGTATGTATCACCATAGGAAGACGATCTGAGTAGATTTTGGAGCACGTATGTCAAAGGTCAAGGGTCACAGAGGTCAACTTATGAAATTCCATACATTGAGATTGTTATCATGATATCTCAAGAACCACTGGAGATTTAAACTTCAAACTTAGTGATAGTGTGTATCACTATAGGAAAACAATCTGATTACATTTTGGAGCACGTAGGTCAAAGGTCAAGGGTCATAGAGGTCAACTTATGAAATTCCATACATTGAGATTGTTATCATGATATCTCAAGAACCACTGGAGATGTAAAAACTTCAAACTAATAAGGATAGTATGTATCACCATAGGAAGACGATCTAATTAGATTTTGGAGCACGTAGGTCAAAGGTCAAGGGTCACAGAGGTCAACTTATGAAATTCCATACATTGAGATTGTTATCATAATATCTCAAGAACCACTGGAGATTTGAACTTCAAACTTAATGATAGTGTGTATCACCATAGGAAGACAATCTGATTAGATTTTGGAGCACGTAGGTCAAAGGTCAAGGGTCACAGAGGTCAACTTATGAAATTCCATACATTGAGATCGTTATCGCGATATCTCAAGAACCACTGGAGAATTTTCACTTCTAACTTAATGATAGTATGTATCACCATATCATAATATCTCAAGAACCACTGGAGATTTAAACTTCAAACTTAATGATAGTGTGTATCACCATAGGAAGACAATCTGATTAGATTTTGGAGCACGTAGGTCAAAGGTCAAGGGTCACAGAGGTCAACTTATGAAATTCCATACATTGAGATTGTTATCATGATATCTCAAGAACCACTGGAGATTTAAACTCCAAACTTGTTTAAATTGCTCTATGGCGGAGGCATCATTTTCGACTGCGCGCAGTCAAAATTCCATCTAGTTTCTTTCTTCTTTATATGCTGTATTGTCTATCAATCCTTATAATGATGCATTGTTAATATAATTGTTTTCTTCCAGAACGTCTTTTTCAAGCTTCAAGATTTGAAATACCTTCCCATCATTCCACACGGTGATGTCCTCCTCTATGCACTGACTACTTCCGTTGTCCTGCAGGCAGTGAGTATTCTTCTTGATAATAGTTGAAGTTAAAGCCCCACTGTACTACTTGTAGCTACTTGCTCCCTCTATATAGAAAACAATACCTAATCGGTGCATGTTGGTCCTCCGTGATCCTCTTTTTCTTATGTTAATTGAGAGCTGAGTTGATGAGATAGCCACCTTTCAGTGAGCACCCTGGGTGGTCTAATCCCTCCTAGCCAAACTAGTGAAGACGGTCTTTAAAAACCCTATCCAATGAAAAAATAACTTCATATCAATAAAAAGCTGAATAAATATATATAAAGGAATAACAAAGTATTTCCTTTTAGTAGTGCACAAAAGCAAATTGAAACATGACATCTGTTTCATTTTTCACTTACGACATGGTCTTTAACAGGTAAACCGTATGGTCCATATTTAACTTATTCTGTTAATAAACCTGACCCTGGATCTAAAGGAAAACTCAGACCTCAGACTAACCTCCTTTGTTAAAACTGAATAAAAGCTTAAGCCCAGTGTCTGTTTGAAATTTTTGGAAGAATGCAGGCCTGTGAGTCCGACAGAGTATATACATCTTTATAGTTAGTCCAACATTTGGTAGACTGTGTAAACATTTGTGAAAGTACCATTCTGTCACATCATTGAATATCCCATTTTTTACCACTAGTAGAGTTTTTCATGACCTTGTAATTTGAATGTTACATATCCATAGATAAGATGAAAATAAATAGTCATACATGTTTGCCCTCATGGTGACCATGTGGTGGGAATGCTCCCAGGGAGTGGAGATGGTGCACATTGTGTGTGTAAATGAATCTGATGGCAGGGTTAATTATACTATCTGTTTGGTGCTTAGAGACAATATTTCCTACAAGGAGCTGTGTAAATCCTGCCTTATCATTATATTTCTTCGATGTCATCTATATGTGTTCTATTCCTCTCAGGCCGTCTTTGAACCTCATCAGATCAGACCGGCTTATTGGAAGTTCCTTTGTGGTCTGACAGGGAACAAGTAAGAATTGATTTTTTTTCTTCTTTTTGCTTCTTCTTCCTCCTTCATTCTATGTAGCTACATACTCAATCTTAGCAAGTCCCATGGCCCCATAGCATACACAAAAGACAGTGATGACATTTTAAAGGCTATGTTCTGGCTGTGATTTATAACTCATTGTAGTACATATAGTATTCATTGGATTTTTCAGGTGTCATATGTACTCTTGACTTGTAAGGGTCTCCTGTCAGGCTATGTGAGTAAATCCAGTTTGCACAGGAGCCCTATATAACCTTTTTCCCTCCCCCCCCCCCCAAACCTCTTCCCACTTTAACTTTAAACCAACTCTTTTTGAGCTGGTTCTTTTGAAGTTTGGCACACCCTTCTCTATGTATCCAAACTCAGCATGGTCACTGTCAGATATAACATCATTCTTTTACAGAGTTTTATTTTTTCCTTGATTCATTCTAGATTTGCCTTGATGAACCGTAAGCTGTTGGATGTCAGTGGAACACAAGCCTCCAAGCTCTACCCAGACTACTGGCCACAGTACGATACAAGGTTCACTCCTAATCTACAGGCTGCTGGTCTAGTATGAGCCTGCAATCTTGAGCCAAAATCTGTGGTCTAAATTGAAACCATGGTCTAGATCTTGCTTAAAGCCCCACTGTACTACTTGTAGCTACTTGCGCCCTCTATATAGCAAACAATGCCTGATTGGTGTCTGTTGGTCCTCCATAATTCTCTTTTTCACATGTTAATTGAGAGCTGATTTGATGAGATAACCACCTGTCAGTGACCTTGCTGGGAGGTCTTATCGCCCTGGCCAAACTAGTGCAGACAGGCTTTTAATTGAAACCATGGTCTAGATCTTGCTTAAAATTAAGTTGGATTAAAGCAAGTGTAAATGAGCGCATATTGCCTGTGTATTGTGCCTCATGTATGAATTTATGTCTTTGGATTACCCGCTGATGTAGCCCTACCGTCCAATGCTAATCGTGTTTGGAACAACTCCTCTGATTTATCCAGGGCCATTGCTAGACCATCTTGAATAGGGTAGGGAGGTCAAGACCCCTTCCCTGATAATGCCCTTCATTTCTGACCCTTTGTAGCAATGCCCCTGCAGATACTAAATTCACCTGTGTTCACAAATACATTCAAGAAGCTTGGTTTAAAAAAATATTATTACCGTTAATTGGATAACACCTTTCAAACATTTAATTGCAATATTTCCAGAGAGTGCATTCAAAGGGAGTAAATATAGTGTAATATCATAATGGTTGAATTAAAAATGACTGGACAATAATTGTCCTTGGTGTTCCTGTATGGTATCTGTACATTGGCAAAATTTGATGCACAAACTCCAGTACAGGTATATATACTGAAATTTGTCTCCATTGTGTGTAGCAAGTTATGACATGCATGCACCACATATCACTCTCAATCTGTTTTGATCTGTGAGTTTCCAAGATACTCCTCTATTCAGAATCGTCAGGTTTTGTTTTGCTTGTTAATTTCATTTTCTTGAATGCATTTGAGAATCGGTGAACTCCAAGGAGAGGAATTTCTTGTTTGTAATCCAGCTGGTAAGAATTTATGCAATATCATGTGCTTAAAGTAGAAATTGTGACAATCATTGTGAAATCTACCTTTTCTCTTTCTGTATGTAATGAATTATTACATGTTACTGTAAGGTGTGATGTGCTAAGACTGCCATCATTTAGGATGCATATTTATGTATAATGCTAGAGTCACATCACCTGTGCAGGAGAAAGAGGAAGAAAAAAAAAAGGGGGGGGGGCTGTTATGAACATGACATGCCTGTTTCTATCTTCCAATACTGTAGGTGATAAGTGTACAACTTTATTGTGATGTTACAAAACCAAAAATCTTGTTTAAGAATATCATAGCATTACAAAACAAAAATCACTTAAATAGGCTACACATTTTGGTGAAAAATTCTCACTTAATTATCAGTAGCCCTCATGATTTTTTCTTTAAGAGCTGTCTATATGAATCATTAATGTTTGTTGATGAGCAATTATGTTATCTTTGTAAATAAGAAATACTATAACTGAAATGAAGTGTGTGCTGTATGTGATATTCTCTAAAATCTAGATATTGAATTGTTCTGATATGGTGATAATGAAGAATTATAAAAGAAAAGCAGTGTTTGCTGGTGCTTGTACTAAAACAATGAATTATGGTGTGTGTTGAAATGTAGTAGATACCTGCATTAAAATTGGCATGACTTATTAGATCAAAATAATTTGTGTACCATCATAATGGAGGAAATTCTTTTTGTTAGCCCTTAATAAGATATATTTATACTGAATGGGCTATCACAGTAGGATATCGAGACATGTGTGTTATATAAATAAAGTATTAATACTCTGTGAGTATACCAAAGTAGATTGTATAGCAAACAGTATCATTCTTGAATGTATTGGTAGTTGCCAGAGAACCCCTTTTTTCCTTTTCTTGAACTTGACTAAACTTTGTCTTCTGATTTATGGAATGCTCATTAGCAACCTCTCTGTGCCATGCTAAAATATGCATTTCTGTATGAAAATAAAATGATCAATATCTTATTGTAATAAAATTACAAAATAATGTACTTAACATCAAAATCTTATTTTGATGATTCTAAAAATAATATTATTCCACTCTCAAGGAGAACGCACAAAAGTGCACAAGATGTGTCCATTTTTGCATGCTGTTGCAAAAAGGGAAAGTTAAAATGCAAGTCTTTTATGTTGGCAATGATTGACAAGCAAAAAAATTTTATCACTTATTTTATTTTTTCTATTTGATCAGAGGGTTACTGAGGTAATCACCAGTTATCTGTTTAAGATCTATGTATGTGTGGAATGAATAATGTAAATTTATGCATGACATATTTTGTACTGATTGAACAATGGTTGCAAATAATGTACAGCATATACAAATTTGTACATATTGATTGCCATGAAATCATGACTTGTTTAATAAAAAGATATTTCAATAAATACAATCTTGTTCGTTCTTTCAGAATTCATTTATGCAAGGTGTCAGCGACCACTGTTCACTAAAAACATGTAATTGCACATAATTTCATGAAACATGGAAAATGCACCTTTTTGACAAACATGGCAAGGGGTTAGCCCATCATTTTTGGCCCGAAAAATGACCAATTTTCAAAAAGGCCCATTTTCTTTTCTTTTCATCTCTAGAAGGTGTTTTATGACCCCTGTTTATTTAAACTATGTTATTACAGAAAATTTCATGAAACTTAAATAATGCCCCTTTTTGACAAAAATGGGAAGGGGTTTTTGGCCAAAAATGACAAATTTTCAAATAAGCCTTTTTATGCCTCCGCCACCGAAGGTGGTGCCGGAGGCATCATGTTTTCGGGTTGTCCGTCCGTACGTCCGTACGTCCGTACGTCCGTCCGTACGTCCGTACGTCCGTCCCGTTTGACCGTTATCACAATATCTCAAGAACCATTTAAGATTTAAACTTAAGACTCGGGAATAGTATTTATCACCATAGGAAGACGATCTGATTAGATTTTGGAGTACGTAGGTCAAAGGTCACAGGTCACAGAGGTCAACTTATGAAATTCCTTGTATTGAGTTTGTTAGCGCGATATCTCAAGAACCATTTGAGATTTAAACTTCAAACTTAAGGATAGTATGTATCACCATAGGAAGACGATCTGATTAGATTTTGGAGCACGTATGTCAAAGGTCAAGGGTCACAGAGGTCAACTTATGAAATTCCATACATTGAGATTGTTATCATGATATCTCAAGAACCGCTGGAGATTTAAACTTCAAACTTAGTGATAGTGTGTATCACTATAGGAAAACAATCTGATTACATTTTGGAGCACGTAGGTCAAAGGTCAAGGGTCATAGAGGTCAACTTATGAAATTCCATACATTGAGATTGTTATCATGATATCTCAAGAACCACTGGAGATGTAAAAACTTCAAACTTAAGGATAGTATATATCACCATAGGAAGACGATCTGATTAGATTTTAAGGCACGTAGGTCAAAGGTCAAGGGTCACAGAGGTCAACTTATGAAATTCCATACATTGAGATTGTTATCATAATATCTCAAGAACCACTGGAGATTTAAACTTCAAACTTAATGATAGTGTGTATCACCATAGGAAGACAATCTGATTAGATTTTGGAGCACGTAGGTCAAAGGTCAAGGGTCACAGAGGTCAGCTTATGAAATTCCATACATTGAGATTGTTATCATGATATCTCAAGAACCACTGGAGATTTAAACTCCAAACTTGTTTAAATTGCTCTATGGCGGAGGCATCATTTTCGACTGCGCGCAGTCAAAATTCCATCTAGTTTCATATCTTTTTCATCTTTAGAAAGTGTCTATGACCACTTTACACTAAAAACTTGTTATTGCAGATAATTTCATGAAACCTAGGAAAAGCGCCTTTTTGACAAAATGGCAAGGGGTTAGCCCATCATTTTGTGCCCAAAAATGACAAATTTTCAAATTGGCCTTTTGTGATCTTTTCATCTTTAGAAGGTGTCTATGACCCCTGTTCATTCAAAACGTGTTATTGCAGAAAATGGCAAAATTTCATGAAACTTAGAAAATGGCCCTTTTTGACAAAAATGGCAAGGGGTTAGCCCATCATTTTTGGCCTAAAATGCTAATTTTCAAAAAGGCCCATTTTCTTTTCTTTTCATCTCTAGAAGGTGTTTATGACCCCTGTTTATTTAAACTATGTTATTGCAGAAAATTTCATGAAACTTAAATAATGCCCCTTTTTGACAAAAATGGGAAGGAGTTAACCCATCATTTTTGTCCAAAAATGACAATTTTCAAAAAGGCCTTTTTCATATCTTTTCATCTTTGAAAAGTGTCTACGACCACTGTTCACTAAAAACTTGTTATTGCAGATAATTTCATGAAACCTAGAAATTGCGCCTTTTGACAAAAATGGCAAGGGGTTAGCCGATCATTTTTGGCCCAAAATGACAAATTTTCAAAAAGGCTTTTTTCATATCTTTTCATCTTTAGAAAGTGTCTACTACCACTTTTCACTAAAAACTCGTTATTGCAGATAAATTTCATGAAACATGGAAAATGCCTCTTTTTGACGAAAATGGCAAGGGGTTAACCCATCATTTTTGTCCAAAAATGAGGAATTTTCAAAAAGGCCCGTTTAATATCTTATCATCTTTAAAAAGACCCCTGTTCATTATTCAAGCTATGTAATTGCAGAATATTTCATGAAATGTGGAAAACAAATAATGTACAGCATATACAAATTTGAACATATTAATTGCCATGAAATCATGACTTGTTTAATAAAAAGATATTTCAATAAATACAATCTTGTTCGTTGTTTTAGAATCTATCAATATGTATGTACATTTATGCAACAATTCAAAAGGAAAAGAAAATCTTGTATCACAAATTTTGTATTTTAACAGCACAAGTGAGTGAAATTTCTTTGCTCTTTACTTAAAATCAGATTTAGCCTTGCCTGGTGAATTAAATTAATTCAAAAATAATGTAATCTTAAACAATACAGTAAAGGTAAGGCGAGCTAACATTTTGTGGTTGTGTGTCAAATTCAGCAATTCACTTTTTATAGGTAAGAAAAGTAAGAAAATTGTCAATGATGAGATTTAAAGAGCAAGCAAGAATCAATGCTACACTGTACATAGATAAATTACATGTCAGCAGGCATAATGAGCCCCCCCCCCCTCCCTGTGTCCAATGTAACAAACCACCCCAAAACATTCTCTAAACATCCATGTACATTTCAAAAGGAACCTACGTCTTTACTCCAAATCAACTCAAATAATAGAAATCTGTATTGCTCTGTAAAGTGAAGACCAAGAAGAGACCTACACGATGCAGCTATTTATGAGTACCGGTATCAACTTATGAGATAATGGATGTTTGGAAAGGCAGAACTACTTGAAGTACATGCTACATAAATTTTGAAATCTGGGTTACTAATATAAGTCTTAAAGGTAAAGACCAGTTTTGGAAACGCCCCCCTCTCAAAAAATGAAATAGAAGCTCTTCTTACCAATCATGTGAAAGAATATGTTTTGACTAATACGTGATGATACAAAGTTTGCCAGGAAAACGCCTACTAATTGATATATTTGGTAAATTATTATATCTATCCTGTCTGGATAGATATCGCGTAGTCCCATAAACATCTTTCTGTGTACAGTGCTTGTAACTTGACCAAGACTGGGCCAAAGTTCTTATCATTTTGATGATTCCAGAACCTTGCAGTACACACCAATGTAAATGCTAGATGATCAACCTTTTCTGATCGACTCCACAACGTTTCTTTCACAATGCAATCGCATCGTGATTTTCATCTCAATAATATTATTCATTTTTTACTTACCAAAATATCAAGTCTTGATTGACATCTTCAATGGAATGTGAAATGCTATGAAGAAACAATTAAACAAACATATTTCCAACTGCACAACACATGTCCTTGTATGTTTCAGGGTGTTTTGAATACCATATGAAAATAATTGGTAAATGTAGTAACGTAGAGCGAAAATTGGCAAAGATTGCCTCATCAGATACATACACACACATTTCCATAATTTTGTTTCTTTGCAATTTAAATCAATGCTACATACAACAGGTATATATGAACATACAGCATGCTGTATTTCGTAATGTAGGCCGCCCTTGAAAACATTGTTGCCTTGGAAATATTGTTGTGCAAATGTGTCTGTGGTACAGTGCGAGTCACAGATGGAGCAGAACTTCTCGGCTAAATGTTTGTCAGTGTAACGATCCTAATCTGTTGACCACTGAATCGGTCATTCCCCAGGACTTGATACAGAAACCAACCATATTCCATCAGCAATGAGTCAAATGAATCGTGTCATAAATTGTTGAGATGACTGTCAGATTTGAGTCTCTCCATACAGCTACAGTGTATGCTACTGTCCGAACAAAATGATTGCACGATTGGTCAGCTAGTCTGCATGAAGGCTCTTCATATTCTGCGATGTACTAACACATGATTGGTCAGCTAGTCTGCATGAAGGCTCTTCATATTCTGCGATGTACTAATACGTCTCCTTTCTTGAGTAGAAGTAGCCTGGAAGAAAGAGAACGAAGAACATTACAATTAAAACCTTTCCAATAATCTTCTTTCATCACTAATATGGAAATCGAACAATAACAAAAACAACAAACCAATATAAAATTGTACAAGAGACATATCTATATATGACAGTATTGTGAAGCGATTGGAGCATGCACATAAAATATTTCCTCTACAACCAAAATGACTTAAAATGTAAAACGAGTTGAAAAGGATAAGGTATACTGAATACTGCTCTATTTTGAAGAAAAAACAAAAGGGAAGCAAATTTCAGCCCTTTGCTCATAAAAGCAAGCATATACAAACAAGCACACAAACGGAACAAAAGTAACAGGTGCATTCTTAAAACAGGGTTTGTGTACACAGCATACCACTAACAACCATAATTTCAGCTCTTAAGATATTTTGCCACCAAGTTTTGGCACATCAGTAATTTTTAATGTCTAACAGGGCAGTATCATAATATACACAGATGTCACAGAGGAAAGAGAAGCCAGCCAACCTCAGGGCCCAACACAAAGTCAATCTACAGAAATACATGTACAAGCAAACATTACCATTACATAATGCCTCGGTGACACTTGCCCGCATTTTGGTCCCGCACTGCCCCGCCCTGTAGCGTGCCAATGCGTGCCAATTAGTGGCACGCAGCGGCAGGCATCGTCATGTCTACTTTACGAATAGTTGACGCAATGCGTAACCACCAGGACACGCATTTGTAGACTATGCGCATGGCATGCGAAAACTGCGCAGGAAGTATGCGCAGCCAATGCGCTAATTTTGCGCAAACTAATCGTTAACTAGTCCTGAACATGCGTGCCACTAGGCCATCGGACACGCATCAGCGCGCACTGGCACGACTAGGCAGCGCATAGGGTGCGCATAGTTCACGAAGTGTTCACGAACGTTGCCAAACAAAATTGTCGTGTCAAAATTTTGAACATTTTGACAATTCTGTCACGCATTTCACGCACGACCTGCATCCGCCCGCATCCTCCCGCAAGCTACCACAAATACTTCCCGCATTGACACGCAAGAGTATGTGTCTATGCGCAAACTATGCGCAAACCAAAATGCGGGCAAGTGGCACCGGGGCAGAAGACATCAAAAGCTCAGAACTGGTCACTCAGTATAGGGTATCGAAGTGCGCACGTCATATTCACTCGTTGTTCAGGTTACTGGTTCCAAACAAGGGATCCCTCTCATGAGGTTCACAGCGACATCATTCAAACAACGGGCTGGAGCAGGCAATGTTTGGAGCTGGTGTTATCACCACGCCATTGTTTAGCCCAAAATTGTTTGGAACCAGCAACCTTGACAACTTGGCTAATATGATGTCATACTTCGATACTCCATAGATCGTTTGTTGTTAAAATGACATGCTAAGTATGTGATATAAATAACCACAACGCAATTTCCGTCTGAGCACATGCTGTACAGTTGTGTAACTCCTCTTTTCACTCCCTGGAAGTGAAAATCATCTATCCTTCTCTGTGGCACTTTTTCAACTTCGATACATATTTACCAAACTGGGAATATGTTAGGTGAGTATAGGGTGGGCAATACAACATAGCATGTGTGACTAACTGTATAGGCATGGGTTATGGTCAGCAGTTGATTACACACCAAATACAAACCAGGGAATAGTGCATGTGAGTCAAGGGTAAGGAGCGACTATTGTATTCACTATACTAGGTGTACAGTGCATCAATTAGCAGCAGTTCAATTTTTATGACCCTGGAAATATTGTTAGGTATTTGTTAGGAAAGAGTAGAGCTATTCCATCTTTTCACCATAACATATGTATTTGACTTACACAGCCTACTATGCATGTATTATGATCAGCAGTTGAATAAATATTCACCAACCTGGGACATGCTGTCACGTGGGAAGTATCTCCTCTCTATTACCTAGAAACAAATTAAAAATACAACAACAACAAAAAATAAATTGGCTTAAACAGTCTCATGTGATTGGTGAGGTTACTTATTAAAAAAAAAATCATTTTACACAAGCAAATTTATTACTGGTAACCTAAAATGTAGTATTTAAATTTATTTACTGAAATCACAAGAGGTTTTGTTGGGCAACTAGCTGAAGAATACCCATAAATGTAGGTAGAAAATAATTTGAATTGCCCGATGCGATTTAAAGTACAGTGTAATGTATATGCATTATGAGGGGGTAAAAAAGAAAATTGAGGGAAATGTCTACCCATCTGATAAACCAACCCTCAAATCTTGTAGAAAGTTTTCAATGAGTGATGAAACACCACACACCAGAAATGTAATATCAATTATAAAACACAATGAATAATCCATGTAAATTTTTGTATTTTTTTTTATTTGTAATAAATGCATTAGGAATCACTGCACGCATACTGTATGTCAGAAGTCATGTTTTACCACTGCACAACAGGTTGCATGTGTGAGTTTGTGATTTTGGCATGTATGATGGCATCCATAGGGTGTTCATCCTCTACAAACAATCAAATATCAATTAGAAAAAATCAACAAAATGCATGGAAACAGCCGAGGAATGCTGCCTCAATAAAAGTAGAAAATGATATCACAGTGGAAATATACATGTATGACAAGATCAGAATGTGTGAGAGAAGGAGTGAAATTAGTGAGTTAAAAGGGATGATCAAAATGAATTATGATGAAGTTAATCGATTATCATTTTAAAGAAATGAACATATCAATGATTGCTAAAGCAGGGTAGAAAAGGAAAATGAATGAAATATGAATGAATATGAAAACCTGAATTTACTTGATATGGGTACTACAATAAGGATTGTGATGAAAACCAAAGAAATTCTAGATTTCCCTTATATTCATAACAAATCATATCTATGAAAAACAACAATTTTCAAGCATGTAACACATGAACATCTTCATCAAAACACATGAACATCTTCATCAAAACATACGACTAGCTACCAAACAGTTGTAAATACTGTAACAAGCCATGTATATATTCATAACTACTTATATCAACATATTCAAATGCTACATTCTCAGCCTTGGTCTCGTTCAAGTACATGCTTTCAAACAATTCATGTATTCATTTGGAATGTCTTTCAAACAAACTGATTAGCTCAACTTTAATACAAACATAATGCTTACTTATATATATCGTCATAAAACAAAAGTATTTTACAATATTCCAATCCTACATTAAATGCTACCATGCCTCGTTCATGTTTTTTTCCTTCTAAGTCCACTTCATCAACTTCCAATACATGCTTTTACAAGGAGTAATTTTTTATTTTTAGAAAATGAATTACGGTGCTCAAAAGGGATTAATTTCTGAACAAGTCAACAGGGGTAATATAAAAAACACACAAAGATGGTGAACGGTAACTGCTATGAAAACAAACAAATTGAATATTTGAACTTTGACCTTGCTACACACCTTTCTGGGACCGTCCTTGGCACTATGGCCGCAACGACGAGATATTACCTTTAGGACAATAGAGGGAGTTCATGTTAGTATTACCAGAAAATGATAAAATACATGACAAGTACCGAGTCAGTTGGAGAAAAGTAACAACAAATTGTACTCACGAGATGTAAAGAAAGGAGAGAAGGTGTGACTAATCAAATATAAAAGAATCTGGAAATCATAAGAGGACATATCACCACCGAAGAAATTATAAGACGACATGAACCCCCCCCCCCCTCCCCCTCCATGGGACATTCATACATCTATTACAGGTAGTAAACAATCATTTCAAAGCCAAGACGGTAATAAATTCATTAACTCAGTATTAATTTCGAAGTGTGCAAGTGTGCATCTATGTGTATGAAGACTAAACAACATGTACTTAAACATCACTTTCACTTTTGATTTTATTGAAATTTGCAATACCTCTTACAAATTTTTTATATATATATATATATATATATATATATATATATATATATATGGAACCCCACAATTCAAAGCAAGATGTTTTGGGTGATTGGCCCCTATCAAACTTGTTAAGTTAGAGGGTCAAGTGCTCTTGAACATCTTTTTAATTTCCAGCAATGTGATAGCCATCAAATTATTATTTTAATGTGAATAGAGTCAGAGGGTTAGAGCTGATATGCATGCAATGTATAATGTACTGAAGATGAGCTTTAAATGTTTTGAAAAACATAAATATTTTAGATGAGTAGATTGTCAAAATAATTATTCCTGAATTTAGCATGCAATGTTTGACATTAGAAGTGAGAAATATATGAATACAAATCAAACAAAAGCTGGAAAGGGGCCATCATTGAAAGACAAGAGAGAAAAAAGAAAATATGTACTCGGTATGTGTTTGTGAGATAGACAGATGGACAGCAACAGACACACACATGAAAGAAAGAGAGAGAGAGAGAGAGAGAGAGAGAGAGAGAGAGAAAGAGAAAGAGAAAGAGACAGATAGAAAGGCAATAGAGGATGCAAATACATGTAAGAGAAAGAATTAGAGTAACAGTACAAGAAAAGGGGGTAATGTGCTGTGCTGGAAGAAAGTTTTAAAAAAAGAAACCATTTATTTACTTTTGTTGAGGATCGCATTCATTTACAGAACACCATCATTGACACCCCTCCTTTACCTTATCAAAGAAACGACTAAATTTGACAGCATTTGTTGTCCCTGGTGCTAAGTGCTTGGCATCTGTACAGTTCTAAAATGTATGAAAAATTGAAAGAAAGGGAAATAATTACATAAGATTTTAAGGAATGCCCTCTTTAAGACACAGATATAGCTTGGTAAATCGCTGCAAATAAGCTACTGTGCTTTTAAAAAGCATAAAATTAATGGCAACTGCGCAAAACAGAGGAAAATTGACTGAGCTCTGTTTAATAAGATTCTGAAATGTGAAGCATAATACACATTACGTCATTTAAAAACACCAACAAAAACCTGTGGTTTTGCTTCATTATGTCTCTGAACGAGCCTTCCATGTAAAGAAAACTATACAAGACACCGCTTTCAATATTTTCAAAATTCATGAATCTCTTTCAACCTTTATTGATTTGCATGTAAACAGAAACTAGAAATCAGACTAATTTATTTCTCTCACAATTCAATACGTAAATATGGAAATAATAATTAACAGTGAATACTGAACCTTTGAAATTCGCATTTCTTTTCCTGGTAGATATGCCTTCAGTATCAGTTTAAGAAAGAAATATTTGCTCTAAATGAATATTACTAGAATATCATCAGAAAACCCAAACAAACAAGCAAATTGCTACTTACTAAATTGATTTCATCAGCTCCACATTCTTCTGCTATTGAAGATGATTGTAATTTGTTTTGTCTTTGTGTATCTAACTGATCTTTCTTCACTCCTACGACCAGTATGGGTGTATGGTGGCCTGCAAACTGTTCAGGATCATACTCACTCCTAACATTTAGCGAAGAAATGAGAAAAGAAAGAGAAAAGTGGAATTTTGTCTCAAATCTGATAAATCTTTTGTACACTTATTTTTGCATACCGTACTTATTTTTGTATAGATCTAGGAAACCTATTCAGAGGCACTTTATGAATATTACCCAGCTTATCCGAGCTGATAAGAGGCATTAAAAGTTTTACCAGAATTTTTCTACCAGGTCCCCATTACTACAACTGACTCAAGACAGACAGACAACTGAAGGTAAAATCTCTCACCTAGGAGCACATTTACCGGACAGGGATTCCAACCCTGTATCAAAGATTATTCTTCTGTGAAAAGCTAGCATGCTTTCTAAGCTGAATTTTTTTCTTCACACTTTTCTCTCACCTTCAAAATGTATCTTGCATGCTTTGAAGAGTATATATTTGTCCACAATCGTAGAGGTACGGTCTAGTGGATAAGTCACAGGACTGTGAACCATAGGGTATGGATTTTGAATCCCTTGACCCAGGTGAGGTAAAAGTCTAAAAGAGTACCTTTACTACCTGACAGGAGTTAATTCCTTGAAATGCTAGAGTGCCAAACTGGCAGCCATGGTAAAGCCAGATTAATAATTGTAGAGAATGAGAACTATACAAGAACCCCACCTTTATAACTAATATTACAATTTGAACTAAATTATAATTACTATAAAAAAGAGGTCTCTTCCTGTTTGAAAGGTAAAGAAGTTATAAAAAAAACCTGTGTAACTTACACACTTGTCCTATGTCTCTCAGACCCATTATTTTGTTCTCTCTGTAGGATCTCACTCAGCCACTTGCCAAGGTTTGCGTGTGATTTCCGATTGGTTAGATCATGGACCAGAATGATACCTGCAACAAAACAGAAAATTTAATATCTCAGAAAAGATCTTTTCTAAAAGTAGTGCTTTTAATATAAGTGTAAAGTTGTTTCATGAATCTTTCTAATGTGTATGCCACATTTTCACATAGAATGCTCCAAACAGATTACTGTAAAGTGGCTATTGCACCCTACCTGGGTAGATGGACAACCTATTTTACTTGAAGTAATTTCCAAATAACTGGAATGTATACATTTGTTGCACTGTAGTACTACAAAAGTTATTCTGAATGAAATCACAATTTATCACACATGAAAAAGCTAGGCATGAAATTACAAATACCTCAATTTGATGCCCCAGTGAACGATAAAAGATCACATAAATTCAGACTTTATCACTTTGTATAATTGGTTGTACTGAGCTATGGAGCTTGTGAGGTTTGTATAGGGTTTGTAAGCTCACCGTTTAGTGCTGTGTAGAATATATGCCTGCTGTTAGCATGGTTAACAGACCCACCGATGTCCCAGAATTCTACAAAGCATGTCTTCTGAGCAGGTGTACCTTCCTTGTATTCATGGATCTGGCAATGAGAAACGTTAACCAATCACAACAGTTCTTGTACCAATCACTTAATAAAAACTGGAACATTATCCAATCAGAAGAGTCCGGTAATCATTTGTCAAATAAAAGAAAGATACATATCAACCAGTCAAGAGGTAAAGAAGAGAATTCAGTCACAGTGAACAAATGGGAGCATTTGAGCTACATGTAGAAACGCATGTGTTCTTGTTAATATTACAATAAATTGTTGATCGGTAATCCCAAATTACAGATCTTGTAGAGTCTCTTTACTCTTTAGTCTTTATTTTATTTATTTATTTTATTTCCAGGCAAGATGATAACATACAAAACATTACAAGGTTCATAAAAGTAGAAGTATAAATTTCCTAAACATTTAGGATTCTCTTGCAATTTCATGAACAGAACCTCAAACGCTTGCTCCATGTATTGTAAAGCATGTTTTTCCATACAAGGATGCATCAACATTATACATGGTATTCTGGAATGTTTCACATACCTTTACATCTAGCGATGCACCTATAGTATATGAGGTATTCAAAATGGGTTGTCCATGACATATCAGATGAACTAGAGATGATTTGCCTACACCTGCAACCAAAAAAGACAAAATTAACAAATTCAAAATGAAATATGAATGATCGCTCCACAAACATCTTAAAACATACCTCTCAATTCTACTTAATTTGTTGATTGACTAAGGGACAATGCCTTGTATCATCTGGAAAAGGCGCTATATAAATACAATTATTATTATTGATACTATTATAACTCCGAGAGCAGTGTAAAACAAAGAATAAAAATCCGAAATCTATAGGCCTAGGTTGGTCATCTTTTGTTTTATTTTTACTTTTTAATGGAGAGATCAAAATGGAATTGTGTGTAGGTGGTAGAAATACATAAAAATTGATGGCCCCTCTCACCCAATTATTTTTGCAACTGCCATAATCATGACATAAGTTCGCTAGTCACCAACAAGGTAGTGCTCGTACCCGGAAGTACAGATGGACTTTACTTCTAAGTGTTTTAGTACATGAAATCCCATTCTTCTATCTCCCTATTAAAAATGTTATTGACAAGATATTTGGGCATGCCTCGTTCACTCGACTCGTTCCCAACATACACACAAGCAAGCATTTGCATTTTTGCAAGTATGAAGTGCTTCTTGCTGGATTTAGTCAGTGTTCTTATAAGTTTCATTAATTCATTTCTTCCATTAGCTTTAAAATTGAAATATTTTGGCAGTTTGTTGTGATAATCAGAGTCCAAGTTTGGGCGCTTGTACAGAAACGTATCCCAAATTAGACCCATAACTCTGGCGTGGAGATACCCTACTAAAACATACCCAAAATGAAGTAAATATTCACTAAATGTCCAAATAAAGGTCATGAGTTAAAAGTTGTTAAGTTTATTACGTTTCGTGTCAATTTTCTTGTTATTTTTGGAGTATTTTTCGGATAAACGTTGATATCAGTATACACTTTTTCACAGGTTTCATGGCAAACCGCTGCACAATACAAGTACATACCGATGGTGGGTTGCGTGCCTGTGTGAAGTTATCAACCGTAACGTCTCAGATCCTCATTACTTTAGTTTTTATTGAAGTTTTGTTTCATAATAAAAATAATATTTTTAAAATGGGGCAATCATTCAACAGATTCTTAAATCTATGAAAATTGAAGAAAAATTGGGATATTTATTTATCATCGACTTATGAGGTTATTTGACACATGCGCCGTCGACTTGTGAGAGGTCGATTGTAATTTGAAAAAAACGTTTCCATGGCATTATTTCATTCACATGACTAATTTGGGTACAGATTCAAAATTTTCACCACACACATCCAACTCAACGCACGGGACTGTTCACAAGATTGAAGAGACGCGTAAACACCACAAACATGCCTAAATTTACCTTTAATTCTATCATAACTTACCAGAGTCCCCCACAACAAGGATCTTAACCTTTTCGATGTCAATTGACGACATCGTGACTGTAATAACTTGACGTTTCAAGAAATGTTTCTGCAAACACTGCGACGAGTAAAGACGACGGATTCGTGTTCTAGTGCAATAGTTCGATGAACTGTAGAAAAGGCCAATGTTTACGTGTATGACAAGCGCAGCCAGTGCCATATCGGTGAGGGGTTTTCGGGGGGTGGGTGGGAGGGGGGGGGGGGGAGGGGGGGTGCTAGTATTAAAAAAAAGGAAAAGGAAGAAGGAAAAGGAAGAAGGAAAAGGAAGAAGGAAGAAAAAAAACTAGAGATTTATGAATGGTCGAATTTACAAATAGTAAAAGAAAAAAGAAGAAAAAGAAAGAAAACAAAAGTGAAAGTTGTAAATATTCTCAACTAGAATGAAACGTTATATCACACACAAATCAAGCCAACCCGCCCATTATTTGAGGTATCTTTTTTCAGTTGCTCCCCCTTCCCCTGCTGCCATCTTATAACTAATGTTGACTAGTTCAAAATTGACACATGACAACTCTGATCGTCTGAACATTCCAGCTCGAGGGGAGGGGGGGGGGGGGGGGGGGGGTTATACATTTCATACCAGCTAGTGATATCACAGAATTTTGTGTGCGTTATATTTTGCTTTATTTTGAAATTTGTCAGGTTTTTAATCAGGATGCTTTCTCCTAGACATTACTCTTCCTATTTGAATTTGAAAAATCGAACATGCCCTATTAATTTTCTTATGCTTTTCAATAATAATAATTATTAAAAAAATCCATTATAACAGGTCGTATGACACATGCTCAGCTCAATCACCGATTATTCCATGGTTAATTTACTACCCAACCCCAACATAAAATCCAATGGAAGATCCAACCTTATATGATGCTATGTCTGATGGCAAAGCCTGGAGCAATTGTTACAAGAGCAAGTAATGAAAAGTGAACGACAGAAATGAGCATGTTGTACATATCTGGCCCTCCTATGGCCAAGACATTTATTATTTTGAACAACAGAGAGTTGACTATAAAGATTAAATGTTTTTCACAATGGTAGACATGTAAAAATCAAGTAGAATTCATGTATAATTTGTACAGCTCTCTCACTTTTTATGTATTCTTCCACTGTACATACAATTCTATATCTTTCAATTTCATACAGACAATAGTCGTTTGCTTAACAACATTTGAATATCACAGTTTGAACAAAGTAGATTACACTATTGCTATCATTTTCTTCCCACATGAATATTACAATGATTTGGTTATATACTGCAAAAAATGAAGACAATAAAGATGTATATATAAAATATAAAAGAGACATGTATTCCACCTAGAACTGATAGAATCACTCACATGTTGACTTTATACATGTAATATTGTTCTCAAATCTGCAAGGCATAGTCCTTTCGCTTGAAGGGATCCTAATTTCTCATCTGGTCAGAATTCAGAACCAATTAAACATTGCAAAGCATCCACACCCTGGGCCCCATAATAAATAGGAAACACAGGGATAACAAGGAACAAAATTGGAATAGTATTTTTCACATTATTCATTTACAGACCCTATTCATATATTTCATTCAATATGAATAAAAATATTGAAAAAAACTTGAAAACAAAAACAAAAACAGAACATCATCTGCATCATTTCTTTGGGGAAAAATATCAAAGATACTTTTCAAATTTCGTTCCAATCTAACCTCTGTACCCTGTTTTATGTTTCATGGTACATTATTTGAATGCCAGAGAAATGCTAATTTGAGCACGAGATCTGTAACATCAGAAGCATGTAAGTACAAAATAACCAATACAGTGCAAACAATACAGCAAGGTGGTTGGAAACGCCAGATTTAAGTAAACATTGACAATAGAATATCCTTTTCTCTTATATTTACCATAGATAATTATATTTTGTAGACAGGTTAATTACAGGAACACTGATTCTGGTTTTATACTTGCAATATGACATCCAGTAGCAGCAACAAAGATATGCAACACAGTTTTATAGAATTTTATATCCTTTACAAATGAACTAAAGAGTAAGTCATCTTTAAAATCGCAGACTTGGGTTTCTTCAAAACCTAAGCTACAAAAAATCTTGGCATCAGGATTGTCAGTTATCATGAAAAGAAAAAGCAGGCATCATGCTTAGAGTTAGTGCTTCCTGACCTCTTGCATATACAGAACTTGGACATTTTTAACTCTTTCAACGTGGCATTCAAAATCCCATTGTAAGCGGATACATGTACATGTACTTGATTCTGACACAAAATATCCATCCGATATTGCAATTTTTAAGAGCTAAACATGAATCAAATACACAATTACACTTTCCTGAAAGAAAAATGTATCCATTAATAACCAATGTCAATAAGAATTCTTTTGCTCAATATGAATGTATTTTACTTGCACCCACAGGAATGGGCATGATGTTATCAAATACAAGAATATGAGACCTAGGCTTTGATGTAATTGCATAATATGCCCTGAGAAAGTTATGTACATGTTTTTTTGCTGTTATATGTACAGAAACAAAAGTCACATGAATATATCAGAGATATGCTATAATCATCTGTCAGAATATTCTAAAATCGCTTGTCAGAATATTCATAACCACTCATAAAATTTCATCCTTGTTCCACACTTAACAATCATCAAACTTTCATGATTTACTTCTGCATGTAAGTACAGTGTACATGGATTTATAACAGCTAGGCTGTCGATTGGGGGGGGGGGGAAGGAATAAACTGTTATGGATTGATTAAATATCTTATTGAAAGAACTTGATATAACATACACGATGGCCTCACTGAAAGTAATTATAGAATAAAAAGACAAGAATGGATTTTTTTTTTATGCGCTGCTTATTCCCTGCTAACAAGTGCCCTTTTTCATTTCTAGAATGTCACTTATAAAATCAACTTGAAGTACAGGATATATTTCACCCAACATGTCATAACAAAAAGTATTACTTATTTGGGGTGAACAAGGGCTAATGTTAACAGTTTTGAGTTCAGTCAATTTCACAAAGCACAACATGATGCGTATCCTACTAAACATAACCCTTCTTCTTGTATTCTTCTTGAGTTACTACACAAGATCTCAGGATGAAAGATACAAGGTGTAGAACATAAAATCATTCAGAAAAGGAAAAACTGGAAACAACTAGATCCACTGTGAAATGAAATGTACCCCAACAAATTTAACTGAAAACATTGTCATATTTTTCACAATCTGTACTTAGTCCAACAATGTCATATCACTTTGACAGGAAGATACTCTGGTAAGCAGCATAAATTCAATAACCATTGGCTTGAGTTGCAATATAACATTAAAATAAACCTGCAGAAGAAAAGTCAGACATAAAATAAAAACAAAACGAGCCAAGGTAAATGACAGACTTGTATCTGGTCTGGAAAGAAAATTTAACATCAGCAAGCTCCAAGAGAGAGAAACAAAATAAAATAATTATAATACAATATTTGTGACTTGTGATTCACATTCATGAAAATATATGAGAAAGTTAAAATGAGATATATATATATATACAAAACAGGAATGATACCATAAACCCAAGAAAAAGCAAAGTGAGAAATATTCTACATGTTAGACTTAATTCACTACGTGTACTCCCCATAGAGAAAGATATACCAATATTACCCACAAAATATAGAATGGAGTTCTATGCATTAATGAATTAATGAGCTCTTAGAATATATGTATCATAATAATTAAGGGATCTCATACATGTACAGAAATCTTGATTGTCCTAATAGGTAAAAGTAAAACTCTTTTTTTTTCTTATGAGTTGAAATTCAGAGTCACATAACATTTGTAAAATCTTTTTACATTTTTAAAATTATATTTTCAAAGCCTAAGTGTAATATGGCTTTATGGCATCTCAATCAAAGAAAATAAACTCTCCTCGGGTACATTGATCTCCTTTCATTCCACTTGCTTTCCACAAAAAGAGCTCGATGATAAATGCTTATAAAAAACAAACGTTGAAGTAATATTTCATAAAGGTACTACAATATATTGAATGCTTGCAAATATTCTACAAAGGGGGGGGGGGGGCATCAAAACATATGCTATGTCTTTTCTACTTTAAGGGGCCGCTGATTTGATTTTCTGTATTACAACTATACTATAGCTCATTTGTCTACATAATGAATGACCAGAAGGGCTGAAAATGTTAAAATTTTCTGTTCTACTTCCCTTCTATACTTTAACACCTCTCATCACAAACAGGCCAAAGAATTCACAAAACAGTGATTTGCGGAGTAGAAATATAGTGGATGAGGGGTGTCAGTTGCAGTAAAGATAAATGAGCCATTCTAGTTCTAGTTCTAGAGATACGTGAAAGGGCTACATTATCATTCTGAGGTAAGAAAGTCACAGATAAAAGATTTTGAACTCATATATTGACAATTCAGCTGCAGTACATGTATTTACATCAACATATCCAACTTCACAAATACCCTTTCTTATACCAAATACAAGAATAATATAAGAACAATTTATAAAAGGCTACTTTTCACTGATTCATCTGAGAAGCAGCGCATCAACATACTCAAAAGACACTTTATTGTTTTTATAATCAAACGGAGGAAGCAAAAATGAGGGTTTTTATAAAATAAAAAATGCATTTTTGTTGGCAATAAAGTACTCAAGTGTTGATGTCAAGTTGGCACATGATAAAATGTGTGTTAAATACAAATTCTTATCACTTGCACATCATTCAAAGCATTTGACAGTATTTTGTCTTCTATCGACTGCCCAGATATAGTGTACTGAAAACTGGACAGCTTCTTTATACTTTGGTTTCAATTATTCCACATTATCCGATCAAATATTGAAACAAATAGTAGGCAGAACCCTATTCCCTCGTTAGTGGAGGCAAAACAAATGTTAACAGTCTGCTGAAGTTTCTTGCAGTGAAAATAGAAAATGTTAAGAATTCATCAAAGTTCCTAGCTTTACAGTAATTAAACTATTTTCACATCATATTAAAAAAAATTGTTTTATTTAACTTGGAACATAAATCTGCTGCCATTGGCATTACCCACACTATGTGTATGGAAGTTTGTACTTTCATATGCAAAGATGCATGCATTCCCATTCTAAATAAAACAACACATTCAAT